TCCCGGCCCGGACCCGTTGTGCCCCTGTGGGTTCTTGCGGCCCGAGTCTTTTTTCTGCAGCGTCCGTGTGGAGCCGGGCGCTGCCTGCCCGGTGTTTGGGGCTGGTTTGCCTTTGGCAAGCGTGCCTCCTGCCTCTCATCCCTGCCAGCGAGACGCTGGCGTCAGCTTCGTCAGCAGCGCTTGGAGTGGTCGCCTTGCCTGCTCCTGTCGCTGTATCTCTCTGCCAGCTCTGCGTTGTCTGCGGTATTAACAGCCCTCCTGAATGACCATAACCATTTTCCCTAAAGAAAGTCACCAACGGGGCAGAACTAAGGCAAAATCTGTGGGGACGCCAACCCCGTTATTCATGTTCGTAAAGCACTGCCATTAAGTAAGCGTTGTCAGGGCTGGGGTGTATTAGAAGGCAAACAACTTTGTTTATTTATTTAAAGGCACTCTTGGGGTGAATTAATCTTCAGAAAAAATAACGTGAAAAATAAATATGTGATCATTAATTTTGAGATATTTAAGTGATGAGTGTTTTAACAGGTTTCTGTTCGGATTTGTGTCCATTAGCTTACTGGGAAAAATATTCTTACTATGTGTTTACTTTTTCAGTGGGATACTCTGCAGTTGCTCTTAATCATGTCATCGATTTTAAAGAAAAGAAACAGGTAATTTTTGTTGGGGTTATTTGTTCTTAGTGTGTTTTCTCTTGTAAGCTTACATGCCTTATTACATGTCCCCAAATAGATTTACCTGCAGAATGCACATCTACGCACAAGTACAAATGTCTGCATTTGTGACACAACTCCCATTTTATAATTGAGTGTCATTGCCCTGTAGTTAACTTTCAGTATGGTCTGTGCATATTCCCTGGGAAGTAGTTTTGTTAGCATGGCAAACTTCTTTTTAGGATTGGAGTACAGCTTTTGTGTTTATGTTGTTGTGAAGTTTACATTGTAAACTTAACCCATGACATTTTGAATAACTTTGTTTTCTTCTCTTTTAAGGAAATTGTCAAGCCAGTATCTCCTTCAGAGTTGTTTCCATCTTTGCCTATTGTACAAGTATGTCAAGTTACTTTCTATGTATTATTATTAAGTTTTTTACCTTGGTGTGTTTGTATATGTGATTTTGTCTATTACATGTTGATCAAAAAGATAAATTTGTCCATTGCTTGATTGTTAAACCTCCCAGCATTGGAAGAATGATACACTCACGTTAGAGTAGTCTCCATTCATTGTTTTCGAAATTGCTGAAGAAATTGCTTCGTGTGAATTTTTAATCTTCTTGTAGTTGAGTAATTACAGTATAGTTCTTGAAATTTGAGCTTTGGAAATAACTTCCTGGTTTTGATGGAGCAAAATGTAATGAACCAAGTCTGTATTTCAAATCACTGACGTACATTAGTTCAGGAACTACTTTTGCTGGTAGTTGTGGCCTACCTGGGGAACTGTAGCAGTTTTAAAACATATGCAGTTTTTCTTCATGATTTCAATTTTTTTTGTTTCTTTCTTTCTACTTTCTATTGACCCTTCCTCAGAGAAACACAGTAAGTCTTTCTTAGTAAAGATACAAAGTAAGTATCAAACAGATCAATATAAAATAGAGAAGTGTAACTACAGGCTTTAGAAAATTAATATGAGGAAGGCACCATTTTCTTTTTGTAGGGCAGGGTGAAAGTCACCACAAATTTTTGCTGTGTAGCTTTTTAACTTTTCTGTATTATTTCTTTTTTGTAGGGGACCTCTAAAAGAATTAAAGTTTTAACCCGGCTAACGCTTGTTGTTTCTGATCCTTCCCACTGTAATCTCTTGGTAAGCATATTCAGTATATTAATTTGCTAGTTTTTATTTCTTTTTGTCAATGAGTGAATGAAACTTTGGCAGTTGTGGGGAGAACTTCGTGCATTTTCTAGAATGCTCAGCAGTGATTTTTTCAGATCGCATCTTTAGCAAATAATGTGATCATGAAAAGATGCAGTCTTAAAAGACTGGATATGGCTTTTGTTGATCGTTTGTCAACATGGGACAACAGTTCTGTTCCTCAGTTCTCTTCTTTGATTCCTGGACTTGTATGCATAAACTAGAAGACCATGAGCAAGCCCTGTGTCTCTAGGTTTTACTGCTACATGATTGAAGCAAAAGGTGTAAGTGCCTTACTAGGTGGGTAGGACAAGCCTCAAAATGAGAATGAATGACTTCACAGTATGGCTCACAGCAGAGACCTATTGTGTAATTGGGTGATTATTTGTTTTGGTTTAGTACTTGAAAGTGAAAAAAGGTTTTTCTTGCCATTATTTTGGTCGTAATCATTGTGCATAGCTTTGGCATCTGCCAGAATTCAGGGTAGTAATTGTTTCCTCCCTTTGTAGAGATCAACATCTGCAAATATAAGGTTATATGACATCATAGCAGTATTTCCGAAGACTGAGAAACTGTTCCATGTAAGTACAATCATCTGATTGGTAATGCCCATTCAATAACTTTTAGTGCCTTGGTCTAGTTTCAGTATGTGCTTTGTTTTGATTTTACTTTCTGTTTTATACAGGCCTGCATGTCACGGGGCGAATGAAGCCACGTAGGCTGCCTGGTCAGTTGATAGACTGAGAAGGTTGGGGGGCATTGCAGGAGGCTGCAAGGCCTTGAGGTGACTGACTGTCATCTGAAACACTGACCTGATGAATGGACTTGTATGCTTCTGTACCATGGTTTCCTTTGTGTGTCTTGTACTCTACTGAGTACTCCTTTGTAGTGAGGAGAGATAACATCCTCCTTTTTTTCTGAGATTGATAGATATACTGTCAGCAAGTAGAAAACTTCGTTTTGAACTTTAACTTCTTAAACTCTGACAGCTTCCCCAAAACACATTTGCTATCTTTTGTTAGCACTAATTGTTCCTGGTCTCTGAAATGCCAGGGAGAAGTGGGAGGATTTTAAAGCGGAACTAATGTGGTTCTGAGAGTTAAGTTCTTCCTTTTAGTCTTACGTCTTCTCTTGGAAGTTTGTCTGAATGAGTAGCTGATCTCTTTTTCTTTATTTTTTCCTTTTATTTATTAATTTATTTTACATCAAAAGAGGAGCAAGAGTTTATGAAATGGAGCCGGTTCCAGTTGTCATAGTGTCTTACGAACAGACAAAATAAAATTTCCAAAAGTAAGCATGCTTGATGAAACAGAACAACCCTTGCTCCATTGCCAGACTGAGATTTCTGGATTTGTTTTGTTTTGAGTGTTTTGAATGCTCAAGCAGAGTGAGACAGGCTTCAGTTCTGTGACTTCATGATATGTTTGTTACTTTGCCTGCCAAGAAGACCACTGAGGCCGTACAAAAGTAGAGCAGCCTCAGGGGAAATACTTGAAGGGCTGACAGTCATTTTCTCACTCAGATTTTATCCTGGCTGTTCAGAGCAAACTTGCAACTGAAAACTGCCTTCACAAAATTTATGAGTCTTTGAAGGTGTTGCTGTATCAGTGTTACCAAACAGATGCTGGCATTTGTAGCAGTGATAGCGCTCCAGGTGTGCTAGTGAGAGAAAATAGTGGGTGTGAATCATTTTCAAAATACTACTTAGGACTAATTTGTGACCTTAGCCCAAAACTGTTGTTTCTCACATTGGTTTGTGTTAATAGAAGTGCAAGTATTTTGAACAAAAACCCCAATACTCGGCCGCTTCTATTAGAAAAACAAGGTGTTGCAAGTGTGTTTGACCACAGATTAGTTCGGTCCATTTCTGGTGTTTGACTGAAGAAGATATTTACAATTTAGAGGTGATACCCAGATTCAGTGGCGTGCAGTAATTCTTCAGCCATTGCTAACAGCACCAAGCATCATGTCGTCTTCCAACTTCTATCCATAGCTGCTCCATCTTGAATAGACCCTTCCTACCAGAAATAAGTGTTAAAACACGTCCAAGCAGAACAATCTGAGCTTGACTTGTTGGGTGATAGGTGTTTGTTATCTCCGTCTGTCATATTTTTAATTAAATTGTTCTCAAATACTCAGTAACAGCTGATGTGAGTGGACTGATCGAGTGGAGCATCTGGAAGCAAGTCCTCTTTTTGTCAGAATGTTTTTCTTACAAAACCCAAAATTGTGACATCTGACCTGTTGCAAGCTCATAAATAATATTAACTCTGAACTGGAAGAGTACATGGAAGCATCCCGTCTCCGTTAGCCTTGGCAGGCAGCAAGCAGGTGTGCAGTTTAAAGCTGTATGAAGAAGACACAGGGACACCAAAAGCAAATGTGAATCTCTTTGGAGGATGCCAGAATTTACTTTCCGAGAGAGCTTGTCAGTACAAAACTGAGTCTGTTTTGTTTTTTCTTTTTTTTTTTCTAAGTAAGCTAAAGCTGCTTTCTAGTACTGTGGAGTACCTGTTTTGACAAATTAAAATTATATTCTTGTGTTTTGTTTTTCTAAATTATTACCCCTCCTTTTTGAAAATTTGTCCAAGTAAAGTACAAAGCAAGAGGCTGTAGAAGAAGGTGAACTTCAAAGAATCTTTCAGCAGAAGAATTCAAGCATTAATTAAAACAGTTACAGCTTAATGAAACTGATTTCTGACTGCTTTTACTTCCCTTGCAAGATTTTGGGTCTCTTGGGAGCATGAGAGAGGCAAATAGTTGTAAAATACTTTTGAAGCCCACTCTCCACCTCTTTTGCTTTCTGGCAACAATGTAAAATCTCACTTCTCAAGTTAGCTCAATCAATTTATCATGAGTTTAAACAAGCACCTGAAGCCAGGTATTAGCAGGAGCATGCTGTGTTTCTTTGGAGGAAAATGGCACTCTCATGTAAGGGTGGATATTTTTTAGTTTCAGCCATATCAGGAGTTCTGCTGCAGTTGGATGCCCAGCTGCAGCAGTGTTTAAGCTGTCATAAACAGCCCCTCATTTCTGTGGGTCGCCGTCTGCTCTGCTGGTGGAGCTGCTTGCTTAGCTGCATGGCAGTTTGGTTTGAGGAACATGCTTTTGGCTGAAAAGTAACCAGAGTTATTCTGCAGGCAGATCCACTTTCCTGCTCCAATTCAGCGTTCAGCCATGTGGATAGTTGTGCCGGCACAAAGAGGATGGCTGTGCTCTGGGCAGGCCAATGCAGCTAGCGACTGTTTAAGCTGACACTCTCGCAGGTGACTCAACAGTGTGCTAGGAAGGAAGCAGGATTGCTGATGAGACCATTTTCATTGCTTCCATGCTGGCAGCACATTGAGCTGGGGAGGGAACTCAAGCATGTTTCTTGCAAACTGCATGAGGTGAAAGACTTCATCCTTACGTTTTCATGTTCAGGGCAGATTTGTATGTTTGTCTTTTGTTTAAAGATTTTAGATTTTCTTACTGTGTATGGAGTGTCAATTTTGTAGAGGGCTCAACAGGGAGTCTGGCGCAAGTGACGTTACGCATGGAGTTTCAGCATATACCTCTGGCTTGTGATACTCATGGGTCTTTCACCATTAAGGATAAAGCCTTCTAGGGCATGTCTTGCACCACAAATTAACTTTATATTTTAAAATTGGCTGTTGGTAACTCAACAGTATCTCGGGAGCATCATCTTTCTCCCCAGCAACTTGGCACTTGAATTATTCTCCACAGAACAGGATTTTCCATGTTTTTGTAAAAGAAATACATGACCATTGGAGATGTGCTCTAATTTTAGCATGGCCCAAAGCCAGTCTCAGCTCTCTTGTCACAAGCCAAGGAAGCTTTTCTGTGACTGAGTGTGGCAGTATATGTACTGAAAGATGTGCTCAGATTCTCCAAATAATTTATATCCTCAGGCGTATGAGGAAGCTGTGTTTGCCAGGATAATTGTAGAACATGCTCCTTCTTTGTGTCTCCCAAGAGGATTGTTTTGGGCTGCAACAGGAATGCTGACTCTGTGCCAGTAATAAGGTCTGTGCCTGTTGCTTTTCAAAAGTTTGCTTTTTAAGAATTTTGGCTATTTTAATCGTATTAGTTAGTTCTGCCTGCTGTTTGTAAGAAATTAGCAGATCATGAGTGTCTAAAAAAAACTTGCTTATAAAAGTCTAAAGGATGTAGTGCAAAGCCAAATTTCAATGTTTATTCCTAAAATGTTTGCCAAAGCTTTCTTCAGGCCATCCAAGCAACAGGGAAATTATTTATTTCTCGCTGTCTGGAGTTTCCCAGCAGATGGGGCTCTTGCCTGCGGTGCAGCCAAGAAAGCGCCTGGCTGCGTGACTGCTGCCTGTCATTTTCTTTATGAAGTTCTTGCACTTTGGATCCTTTCAGCAGGCAGGGTAACCTTAACTTGCCTCTGTGTGTGACTTGTCCAGGAGCCAAAGCTAGGTTGAACATTGGAGTTTTTAGAGAAAGTTCCTCTCCAACTTTCCATGCAGTGCAGGAATTCCTCCTTAAGGGGAAGTATGGCTCTTAAATTTGTTTTTCCTTGGTGGTATTTTCTGAAATGTTCTTGTCGCTGGAATCCTGTAGATATACTGGCATTTGGGTCACTCCCTTTCCCGCTGTGCTTAATTTGCAAAGTGGAAAAGAGTTTTCCAGTGTTTCTGGAGCTGATTAGGAAGGCTTGTTTTCTCATCACATAGGGCAGCTTGCATGTTTCTGATGCGTGTTCTTGCTTTCCTTCATTTTCAGCTTTCTCTCCTCCTGAATTTCCTATGGCCTCACTGACATCTTTTCTAGGACATGATTCAGAGCTGCTTGCTCTATGCATGTTCCCAGAAATCACCCCTGTCTGGATGGTAGTTTGTACTCCCCATAAGAAAAGGATTAAAACTGGCTGTGGTAGGGCTAAACTTACATACGCAAGTCTAATTAGATGCGATGGATTCCAACTGTGTCTTTACTAATAGAGTTGGTACAGGTAGGGCATGAAGATGAAGTTTAGTGTGGATGGCCTGGTAGAGACATTAATAACATCAAAAACCTTGTGATTTGCTGGATCTTTGGATTGCCTGCATGTGTGCTGTGGCTCTCATGCCTAGGGGAGAGTGCTATCAACAGCTAAGAAACATTCCTAAAGCTGGGCCTCTGCTCTCATCTCCTTCCGAATTTCATGTAAACTGGTAGAAGAGTGGTTTTCAAAAGCAATAGCCTGCACTGCATTGGAGCAGAGTGTGGCTACCCCGCAGCCCAGCCCTGGGACTCCTCGCAACCCCCACCGCTTTCATGCCAGTGCGAGGAGGGATGAATGGTTGGCGCCTGGCCCAGGTGTATTTGGAGCAGTTGCTGGCAGGTTTCTGAAAGCAGAGAGTTCCCCTATGCCTAGAAAATTCCTTTGCAACATCTTCAGCCTGTTTGATCTTCTTTGTTACAATGCTGCTTACAGACATTAATCTGGCCCTGCCTTTATGGGCTAGGCATATATAATTCCTACATGTCTTGTGTGCATGAGGTTATATGTAAATCAAGAGCTCCCTTTTATGTGCACTTAATTTTCTCTGTATGTCAGCGTGGAGATTCTCTAGCCTTTTTTCATTCCTTTCCCCATTTAATACAGGCTATAAATTATGGTGTGAGTTCAAAGCTAAGCTTTTAAATTCTGACCTCCAGTGCCATCTTGAGACTTTTCTGGAGATGTGGCTTTCAGGGAGGACTGCGCGTTCCCCACCCAGCCAGGAAAGTGAGGCCCTGTGGATCATCTTCCAGTACTGGGCATGGGGCACCACCAGTCACTGTCTAACATTCTGCTTCTGTTTCAGGCTTTTGGTTGCTTCTGGTGAAAACACTTAATCCGTAACAGTTGCTACACCGGAATTAGAGAGTGATGGGATAAGGGGCAGTTCCTGGGCTGCTCCCTGCGTAAACAGGGGTAGTCCTTCACTAGCTGTGAGTTCTTTTATCAAAAGCCAGCATTGCGTCTGCATGTCCTTTGTCAGATAAGAACAAAGCAGTAAGTCTTGCCTTTGGGTTGGTCATTATTTATTGGAAAAGTAGTTCTGTAAGTGAGGGAAGGCTTGGGTTTTAAGCCCAAAATCCGCAAGCTGTGCACCTGTAGCCCTGCTGTTTCATTGGCATACCTGCAACGCATAGTACCTCTTCATTTTAAAACTGAACTCACCCTGGAGAGAGATTTCTTGCATTAAGAAATGAAAGAGAATATCAGAGCACCAAAAGTTCATTACACATTGTTTGAATTATCTGATAATCTGTTCCTACTTCATTGCCGTAGATCGCTTGCACAACTCTAGATGTGGATCTGGTATGCATAAATGTAACAGAAAAGCTGCCATTCTACTTCCGAAGGCCCCCTGTGAATATGGTAAATTTACATCTAAATTGTTTTCGTGCTGTTAAATGCTGTATTTAATGTCAATCTGAGTTGAATTCCCTACCGTTTCCCTCCCACCATTCCCATCCAAGTGGTTGTTTTATTTTCTTGCATAATGTATAGTGTAGTTTCAGATGTCCTTCACTTCAAGGCCTCCACTGCAGCATTTAATACACAGTGATATATGTTCTTTCTTCTTCCTGTACCCCACTTAAGAAGGCAGAAGTGGTGTTCCCAAGAAATGGAAACAGAGCCTTAAGGCCACTGCTATGCGAAGCAGTGAGATGTGGTGTGATTGCTGACTAAGCTGCCTCCCAAACCAGAAGTGGTACAGCTGTGTCAGAATAGATAAACAGCCCTGTAAAAGACAGGAGAATGTGAATGACAGTGTTAATTTGGGAGAAGGATGTTGTGCCAATTATTTGGAGGACAACTGTATTGAATCCATACATTGACAAAAGAATGTATTGGCAAATGAACCAGAAGTGGAATTGGTAAATATCTGCTGTGGGACAAAAGATGGCTATCAGTATGGATGAAATATTTTGTTAATAGTATTCTACCTACTGTTGGTGGTTTACCAGAAAGCATAATCTTCACATGCTCTTACGTGAACTAGTTTTTCGTCTGAGCGTATGTCAGGGTTCATTCCACACGGGCATTCTTGACTGATGTAGTCCTTACGCTTAAAAATTTTAATTTGGAGTTGGCTAGAAATCCTACTTCCTCTTCTACAGGAAGTTTGACCTAGACTAAAAATTCTGAAATAGAACAAAAGTAATAACTTGGAATTTACTACAGACTGGGAGTTTCAACATTCCATTTGGAATAAAAATTTTGCATGAAATGTTGTTTGAAAGTACCCTAGCTGCCTTAAACTCCAGCAGCTGACCCAGATGAGGAGCTGGGTGGCTCTTGGAGCCCTATACTTGGAAACATTTTCCTTAAGAGCTGCTCCTCAGCTTCCACACTCCCAGCTTGAAGGTAGTCTGTCTGTCAGACTGGTTTGGGGCATCCTTGGGCAGGCAGTTTCGGTGGTTGTGATGCCAGACAGACAGATTGTCAGGCAGCTGAAGAGCTGGGGATGAGGTTAAAAATCTGCTTGGCTGGAAATTGGTGTATTGCCATCACCTGTTTTGGTTTTGATAAATTCAGGTTTTTCTTCTTGTTTGCAAATGTTGGACCAGCTCTATGTTAAAGATTTGATGTGTACATAGCTTCTGTTGCGCTCGCATTCAGAGGTCATGCATGGATGGGAGCTGGATTAATTCCATCTGTATTCAGTTACTGGACTCACAGTATTAGCATTGCAGCATTTTTTTAATAATACGGGTATAAATCATAGAGCAACATTTCAGGCAAAAACAGTATAGGCCAGGGAACAAGGAACTCCCAGCTTTGAACTGTGTCTTTATCACTAACTCACTGTATCCCATAGCAAGTTGCTTAACCTTTCTCTGTGTGTTTGCAAAAGACGACTAGGCTTTTGGTGAGGTACTTTGATAGACAGCAAGGGATTTTAAAGCACCTGAAAATATATTGAATATTACTATTTGGAACATCTCCTGTGACTCACTGTTCTTTAACATTGTCACAAATACAATGTTGTGAGACACAAGAGAGGGGTCCTCATTGCTGCTTTTATGCAAGGAAAAATTTCTTATCTGCAAGGTGTGGGAAGTGGTGGCTGGAGGAGGGCCCTCAAAATTTCCAGACTTGTTTCTGACCAGCAGTGGTTACCTGTCTCATCAACTCTGTGATAGTGAAAAGTCAATTACAACTAAGTGGCTGGTATTTATTTGTTTGTTAAACCTCACTTACCTGTCATCCCAAGATTCAAGTACGCATATCTGGTGTACAGTGAAACCTTCCGTCTCCACCCCACCCCCCAATGCTATGCTGTGCTCTTGCTGGAACAATTCTGCCTTATTTTTTCATATATAACACGATTAAACTGAGAATAAGCTGCATCAATAACAGACAGCAGTTGTTAGATTGTTATGCTTCTCTCCTTTTGATTTTTGATCACTCTCTTTCATGTGAAGGCAATAGATCGAGGCATTTACTTTGAACTTCTTTACACGCCTGCCATCAAAGACTCCACAATGAGAAGATACACAATTTCAAATGCGATCAGCCTGATGCAGATCTGCAAAGGAAAGGTAAGCTCTGAAAGTGAAAGCCAGCTAATTAATTCAGTTCAGATTCTTCTGGACTTGTACAGACTGAGCCATTTTAAATGAGTTTGATGCTGGAGTTGCTGAAGCTGTGACTGAATCTTTGCCTGCTGATCAAGGACACAATTATGCTAGCTCCAGATACTTCCAGCCATGCGCCACTGCGTGCTTGCTTCTTAAGTTGTCCAACCGTTAGATTCGTTTTTCAGAGCAACCTGTCTGTTGTTATTGTATGCAATACCCAAAACAAAAGGGGAAAAAAACAAAGCGCCAGAGATCTAAGGTTTTCAGCAGAACTGAAATCCAGGCATCTCTTTAAAATCCCCCATTTCATATTTCTAATTGACCAAAAGCTCTTTTTTGATAGTATACCTTGAATATGGGGGGTAGAAAATCATAAGAAAAAAGTAGAAATCTTGTTCTATTAAATGGTTAGTAAAATCCCAGTGTACAAAACAGACCCAACAGCTAGCTGGCTATCAGCCAGGGCTTTGCTGCAGTCAGATCAGCTGCATTCTTCCCTGCTACTGAAACCCAAGGAAGAAGTTACACTTGCAGCTGAGACGTCTGTAATCCTTTCGTACCTTATTTCCTCCCAGACTACCAGGCTAAGCTGCCTGTCATGCTGGGTCCTCTCAGGCCATGTTTTTTTTTAACAGGGAAGCTTATCATAACATATATCCAGTTAAAAGAGATTGTAGGTCCCACCAGCTTTATTGGAAATGGCATTTGTCACATTTAGCTAGTCCAGTGAGGGCAAAGTTGGCATTACCCTGCAGATCTAGTCTGAAGTGGGTTATACAGCTTGGAAGGCAAATTAAAAGCAGATCCATCATTGCCTCAGTTCCCCTCAGGCGTAGTAGCCTATTCTATAGGACAGCAGAGGGGGTCAAACAGATTAATTCCCTTGGTGATACAGAAGAAAGTGAGTATTTGCACAGCCTTCCCTGAGAAGCCCAGCTCTGGGAGTTAATTGCACAAAATACTGACTCGGAGATGAGGTACGTACACACAAACCGCCTTTCCTTTGGGATTCCTGTTTGCCAGTGTTCCTCTTTCCCCTGTGCAGTTAAAGATGCGCTTCTCACGTGGTTGTTGATTTGGAGAGCACCTGTTGAGTTGGTGTCACAAACAGAGCAAGTGAGATGTTCGGGCGCTCGGTCTGTGCACATTGCCCTTTCTTTCTACATCTGTCAGTCTAGTGCATCGTCTGTGTCTGGAAGGTAAATCAGCTGGAGCTGCACATGACAAGTTGTTGTTAGATGCTGGAAGAGCTGGGAGAGGACTGCTAGTTTGTCTGGTTTTTTTTGCCTCCAGGCTCAGTACATGATGGGCCAGCAGGGATGGTTATTAGCGCTCACTGGCAGCTTGTCTCCATCCATTATGTAAAGGCCTTTTTTTAACGGGACATGGGATGGCTGGTCCATGTGCTGCTTGCATTGGCACCTGGCACGCAGCTCTCACATTCTGTAACCTATAGTGGCTGAACTTGTAGCAGTTTTTGGATCCTTTTGATCCTCCTCTGTTGCAGTAGGGTAGAGAAACTTACAGAAATTTATTGGTGTCCTCAGAGCTGATGTTGAGCAGAGTCCTTAAAACATGTTAAAATGTGCAGAAAATGCGGGAGGGACTCGCCTGCCTTGCCAGACAGAAGGTGTGCATAGCCACAGTCCATCACCTCCCGTGTTTTGGTAACTGACTGTGGGTACTGTGCCTGGAGCAGTGTACGGAACAGCTGCTGTCTCCTTTACCTGGGGAGGTAATGTTTTGCCTTTGAGTTCCTTGCTTTAGCCTGTCACTTGGATTTGCCTTTGCCTGCCTTTCCTTCACTCGCTAGCAGTGCTTTTCTTGTCTGCTCTTGGCTCCTTCTCCCATCTTGCCCATCCCCTAACTGGAAGCCAGTTGCCTTTAAAACAGGTGGAGCACATCTCCAGTGCACAGCAGTGAACCACGATCCCCTGCTGGTTTAAGGTGGCTCGCACAGCCGCTCTGGGAGTTCCTCTGAGCCTGGGAGACAGGCGTTGGTTGCTACAGCTCGGAACAGGAGACTTGAATTTTCCCAGCAAACTCTTGCAGTCAGCACCACTGAAGCTCAAAAGCACCCTTGGGATCCATAGTACAGTCATTTTAAAGGTGAACTATGCAGAAGGAAATGTCCTAGGCTCCATCGTGATGTATGCTATTAAATCACTTTGATGTTTGTATTGCTTATGCTTCTGGCTTTCCGTATGCTAAGGCAGAGTTGTCTGTCCCATCCTTTCATCATCAGCACACAGGGAAACCTTGGGCACAGTGTGAACATTTCACAGTGTGAAATGCAGTCATTTGAGTTCCAGGGTTGAGTTCCAGCGCCTCACAGAGCATTTTCTTCAGCATCTGCCCTCCTCTTTGTTCTGGGGAGGTGACAGGACAAGCAAAGCAGTGTGGGGTAGGGATCAAAAGCCCCACCTTGTAACTGGAGGAGGTGGTGTGATGTGTTGGTGGTACTGACGTCAGAGAGGGAAAGTCTTTTGCTGCCTCACTCAGTACAACTCTCATTACCACCCACTCAAGCAGGAATTCCCAAAGCCAGTGTAATAAAGTGTAATAAAAGGTGTGAGGAATTTTTTTGCTCCTGCAGTTTCCACGTGTGCAAAACAGTCTCCCCCTGTGTGAGCATCCTTGGAGGTTTAACATCAGAAGAGCACTGGGAGCTGAGCTGTGGTACCTGCCAGCCCCCGAGCAATCATGTACCTGTTGTGCAGAAACACTTTGGCAGAGACAGAAGGACATCTCTCTGCGCTGTGATTTTCAAGGGGATGCCAGTGTTGAGGGAAGTGAGTATGTGGCATGAATTGGCAGTTGCTGCCTAGCTGCAGACAGGTCTCCTCAACCAGTGTGAGTTTGATTAAGGCCAATGTGAATGCTGAGGTTAGGATTGAACTGTACCGCAACACAGAGTAGGCTGAAAATTCGGGAGTACCAAACTGTCTAAAGGCACTATCTGTGAGCTGCTTCTGGGGGTTCCTGTACTCCTAAGTCCGTTTCTCTTACAGCTCAAGCTGGGTTGTCATTTTTGTGGGGCCTGTTTCAGCTAGTGTAAACCAAAGGGGGCAATTCTTAACGCCATGTGTGCAACTCTTCATTACTTCTGTCCCCTTAAGGTCCCTTTAAAGTCCACTATGAGACGTACAGGCTGGTGGGCGCTTGCTTAATGCTGTCACTCTGACATTTATGCAGCTTAGCCTATCCATCTAAAAGGTGCGGTACTTATTCAGCTCACATCTGTCTGAGAGAGGTTTGTGACTGCAAGGGAGGGCTTGTCTCCGTGCCCTCTCTCCGTAGGGGACAGGGAGATAACCTGGGTTTGTTCATGTCTCCAAATTAAGATCCATACCCTGCTGGAGTTCACTCCATCTGAGGGCGTGGGATACTCTGATGGTTAATTCAGCTCTGAGGCTGAACTTAGCTAATGCTCATAAAGTCTTTGCTGCTTGCTGATTTTTTTTTTTTTTTCATGATGCTGTCTGACAGTTGAATGTTTGTTCTCTTTTGTTTTCCAGAACATTGTTATATCTAGTGCAGCTGAAAGGGTAAGTCCCAGATTTTTGTAGGTCAGAACAATTGAGGATTTATTTGTGACTGAAAGGACAGCTTTAATTATATATTAAACATATAAAAATTGTAATTTTAAATATGATTTCCATCTCATGGTTTGTTTTTTTTAATCAGTCTCTTTTACCAAAGAATTGTATTTTGGGATTTGGGGTTTTTTTGTTTGGTTAGTTGAGGGTTTTTTTGCTGCTGTGGTATTTTCCATGACAGTTTTCTCCCAGATGGGGACTCTGTTTTCCGAAATAATAGTATTGGCTTGATTTCCTAGTGCATCTTCAGCAGCTTTCTATTGTGTAGAATTTAATCTTGCCTTCCTGATAGCCCTGGCCTGCCTGCTCAAACTCTATCAGCCTGCAAGAGAGTTCATGCACATATCCAACCTTCTTTGTTTTGTTTTAGCCTCTAGAACTACGAGGTCCTTATGACGTGGCTAATCTGTATCCTTTTTCCAAGTGAAAGATGGCAGCTAATAGTAACCAGAAAGTTCAAAGTGGTTTTGAAATATTTCCACCCTTTACACTCCTTGAACTTTACACAGTGATGCCTGTTCATCACCAATTCAGTGAATCAGGGCTCTGAGTGGGTGTGGTAGGAACTACAGACCTTGGTTGTGGGCTGGCACGAGCAGTCACTGTGAATAGTAGTGTCCATGTTCAGCTACAGGTATGTTTTGTTGTGATATGCATTGATATTGTGGGGGTGTCAGTGGAGAAATGAATAAAACCCATAAAAATCTATGGATACTATGAACCAAACCAGAAATTATTACTTGTGACCTCTAAGGTGCCACATCTTTGGTAGAAGAAGCTATAAAATTATATTTATATTAAGAAAGAAAAAGTTCCTATCTGAGTACTAGTTAATTCTGTACTGAATTTTCCAGTCCTTAATTACATATGTGCTGTTAAATAAGTGGATGTGTTCTAGAAACCAAGGAGAGTGTCTTTTCTCCTCCTCTTTTAGGAATTCACATGCATTTTTACTACTCCCCACCCCAAAGCGTGTATATGGACTGTCCCTCGAAGGGAGGAGCGTGCTCTGAGTCATGAGAACCGTGTGGGAGGGTGTGTGGCCTGGAAGGATTTTATGTGCAGCATTTCCTTCCCTCTTTTTAAGAGCAGTCAGGCTCAACACGAATTAACATACCTAATCTGGTGTCATCCCTGCTCAAGGTGGCTGGGAACTTTTCAGCACAGTGCTTTTGTATCAGACAATACACTTTCCCCAGAAGTGAACTTTTCAGTGGGGTATATTTTTTTACTTAATTATGCATACAAAAATGTTCTTGTGTTGACAGACTTTTCAAAAGTACAGCTTCTTGACTGGAAAAAAGCAATGTTGCCCGGAGCTTTCCGGGAGGGCTGCTGGGGAACTGCAGCCAGGAGAATTGGGTGACTCAGTTCCCTGCCTCTGGGTAACCTTATGCAAAATGTCACTTTAAGTTACAGCTTTGCTAATTCCCAGTTATTTGTAAAATAAGCAAACGTGTCAAGCAGACAGACTTCCCTATTCTGTTCGTTCCTTGCTGTGCATTTTGATCCTGAACAAAGGTGACAGAGGTTTGCTGTTTGGCCTGTCAGAAAGCGAAGCCAAGGCAGCCGTGTCTACCAACTGCAGAGCCACCATGCTTCATGGAGGTAAGTGAAAAGCGCGTGCAATCTTAACTAAGTAACGCTTGCGTTTGTTAAACCAAGTTCCTGTTAATGCATATTTTCTAAAAGGTCCGAGACCTAACAGAGTAAGTCAGCTTGGGCTTTTGGCTCCCTTGTCCAATGTGTGAGGAGGAGCTTGTGCCACAAGGGCATTTCATTTTCCCTTGTTGCCATGTTAGCAGATCAGTGACTGAGTTGGTGGTGCTATCTGTACTGGAGTACTCGCGTAACCACATTAACGGGTCATAAACTGTTTAGGCAAAACACAGATCTGCCTGTTGTGCTTCATAGTGAAACTATCCCTTGTTTCAGAAAGGGATGAATGCTGATGTTGGTGACTCCAGCAGAAACTACAGCATTGACTTCAGGAAAATGGGGATGCATGTGTTTTGCGTTTCCCCTCCTGCAGCATAAGTGCAGAAGCAACCTTCGTCATGGTCCTTTTCTGATGCTTCATGATGTGGTCTATTTCTGACTTGCTCTTCAGTGTGGACCATTTCAAACTTGATGCAAAATCAAATACACTGACTGCTTGCTGTGTAGAAAAATGTTTCATTTAGTGTATGCTCACTTGAAGTGTTCTAGTGAAACAAGACTTGCTTCCTTATGCTCTCAGCAGAGGCAGCTCACAGTAGCCCGTTTTTAATATTAAGAAAGGAGAAATGTAGCTTCTGGCGCTCTACACTGGAAATCAAAAGGTTTCCAGTTGTATTTGTGTCCTGGTGTCACTGCAGCAGAGTTGCCACAGGTTGTGTTCCAGCAATCAATTTAGACCCTTGCTTTCCACTGTAGCACCAATTTCTCCATCTCTCCCCTCCCTTTCACATGTTTATTTGTTGGTTCTTAGTGTTTCTTGATTTTTGTTGTTTATTCTGATGGCAGTTTAACTTTGTGACTGAGTAGTCGCATGTAGCTCTTAATTGCTGCCTCTGTCTGAGTAGGTATGATTTCTAGTCACCGTCCCAACAGCTTGAGTTGTTCTAAGTTTCAAACACACAGTGAGATTTGATTTGCATCTCTTGTTTCAGTAGAGGTGGGGCTTGAACCTGCTGTGATTCACAGCAGGTAGCTTTGATCTCTTAGAGGGGGCATTTCTGTGAACAGAGTCGTCCTCCAGCCTGCTACTCATCTACATGAAGACAATGTGTTGGAAGAATTTTTGTCAAGTTTATGTGGAATTTATCAAGACCATCATCTATCTTATCTGTGAGATTAAATAACAGATGTCATTTCCTTGTCCCCCAAAGAATACTGGCCCAGAATAAGTCGATATATTTTGCCAAGCTTCTTGCAGAGCCTCTTTGCTAACAGAGTATTTGCAGGGAATCTCTTCTACCTCAAATGTTGCAGGGAAGCCTCCCACCAGTAGTTTTGACATTCGATTGGGCTCAGTGGGTTATTTGGCAAACATGAGGAGTTTGATAACATCACACAGTAGTATTTTATGGTAATGCTGAGGGTTCTGTAAATAAAATATTCTTGAATACCATAAAGCCACATACTTGGTATGTATAGGGGAGCCTCTGCCAATATAGCTGTGCCAGCGTAGTCTAAGAATCCTGGGGTATGTGAATATTTTTTAAATATTTTTTTTTAAGAATAGTATGTTTTGCTTGGAAATGCAGAAACGCTTTTGACAGTGCTTCAAGAATGTGTCCTTCTGTGACTATTGAACTGATTAAACCTGGTTTCCTATGGTTTTGTGTGTATGCAGCCCCTCAATGCCTGCAGAAGTTTCCTAACTCCATAAGGCAGCCTATCTCTAGCTCCTGCCCATGCAGGCTGCTTACCTGCTATGTGTGCTGGCTGGCTGTTAAACATGTAGAACTGTGCTTTGGGGCATGGACATCTGCAATGAGTATGAATTAAGTGCATTAGTGTCATAAGTACCATTTATTTGAGGTACTACAGCTTCTGCTTGCATATTCCAGAAACTCGGAAGAGTGCCTGTGGGGTAGTGTACACGCTGAAGAAGCCTCGCAAGGTTGAGGAGGAAGAAACAACGCTGCCAGCCTGCAAAAAGCTAAGACTCAAGCTTGAGGACTGAACCAAATGTCAGCAGGAGCCTCCAGCCCAGCTCTACCAAGTGCTGAGTCTTCCCCCACCCTCCAGCCAGTCCAGTTCCTCCCTTACTACTGTATTTAGCCTGGAGAAGAATTATTATTCTGGTGTTCAAGTGAGAAAAGCTGTGGGAATGAGTCTGCTGAGTGGCAGTTCACCACATGTGAAAGGTCATTCTGGGCTTGTGGCCAAGATCAGGAGACCATCTCCCCACCCTGTCTTAGGTCTTCTGGAGTTAGTGCAAACTCAACATTTCTGACGTACAGAAATTTTCAGTTGTACAAGTGCATTCCTTTTTTTATTAAAAATGCTTCTAAGAACACAAACTCTAACGCTTATCGTTTCTCAAGTTTTAGACACATCTCTGCACTAAACCTTATAACCGCAAGCCAGTAGATGAAGTTTACCTTCAGTGGCCCATGAAGAATAATGATGCAGTAAAAAAAAAATCTGCTTCCCATTCTGTTTCGTGATCAATGGCTATAAAGAAGATCCCATCATCTGTCACTTGCTAAGAGATGTCTTGGATTTGTGTCACAGTAGAACTGACTGACCTGACCTGCTAGACACACATCCCAAAGGTCCTCACTGCCCTGCAGCTTTTGAAACCAAACAGTAATATGAGCTGGTTGCCACAGCTGGGAAGGGAGAGCCCAAGGTCACACTGAGCGTGTGCTCAGCGTGCAATGTTGCAGTTGCAGCGTAACAGCTGTCTCAGCTTGGCCTGAGCAGTCTCCACGTCACATCATTTTTACTGCATCATTTCCTTCTTTATGTCCTCGTCTGGCAGTGTTGCCTATGACAGTGTTCATTTTGCTACCTCCTGCCTTTCGGTTTTCCTTGCTGTTAATGCCTCAGTAAACCTAATCTGGCTGCCAAAAAAACAATCGTAACAGATTTACAATCAGCAGAGCATTTTCAGAGCTCTTCCAAATGTTGACTGAAGTTTTTCTTTTGATTAAACTGATATAAAAATTATGTAAGCTGCTGTACTCAAGATACTCTTGAGCCAGCTTTACTGTGAGTATTCTAGTCCTCTATTTGCATCTCACTGTAAGATAAGAAGTGGAAGTTCTAGCATGCAAAATATTGCAGAAATATTGCAGTGGGTCATCTCTGAGCTCATAGTAATGACTGAGGAGAATGGATGTAGTTCTCGGTAGACTAACAGTTCTATATAATGCTCGTGTAAGTCACAACAGCTTTTGCTTTATTCAATGAACAATGACATATCTTTACATTATTGTATTACTGACTTTCTGATCTGATTCTATTTTATTATAGGTATTGGGGTATAAAATATATATATATATGCTGTAGTTCATAATTTGTGGACTTACCTCCAAAGTGATGCTCTAACCAGAGAAGCAGCAGAAATGTGTTTGTCCGGTGCAGTTTTCTGAATGACAGATTATCTTGCCTTGGCCAGAGAATAACCTGCCTCAGCCATGAGAGTAGTTGTTTGGTAACTAGCACATGGAAAGAGGCTATTGAATGTTAGAGATCCTTCTTGCTACTTGTTTCGCTTGATTTAAAAAGTTTACAGTCTGCATCTATGCCGTTTAAGTAGATGCAGTGCTTCAGGAGCAGATTGAGAAGTTTCTTCTCCCTCAGTTTCCTGAAGCATGTTGTTCTGGCCACTTTGGTGCCTGAACAATGGAAGTGCTTCTCGGCTGGGATGATAAATGGTGGTAGCCAGCACTGGTGTCATTTCCATGTCCTGCAAGGCATGCTCCCAGTGACCGGGTAATTGTGCAGAAACAAGTAGCGAAATAGCGGCTTGCAGAGAAGGGCAGCGAGTGGAGGCGTGCTGTAATTTTTATGGAGAAGAGTGTGTTTGCAAATAAAGCGTGCAGCTGGCAAGGTGACACTCACGAGTTACGGTGCTTGTGTGAGAAAAGCCTCATCTGTCTCAAGCTGTTGGCTTCCGTCTAGGATAGCTGGCTGCAGTCAAAATAGGTGTTTTCTTCTGCTTGCTTCTCTGTGTGGTTTCTGTAAATTCACTTAGTCTCCAAAGTTGGCCCTCCAGTAACAACTATTCATTGCTGCCCACTCCTGACCCCACCTCATTGCCCAGGACATTGTTCTGGCCAGACTGCAAAGCCTGCCGGCTGGACGCCAGCTGGCCTGGGGTGGGAAGGCGTGTGGGAGCCTGCGGCCTGTGTCTCTGGGAGGCCACGCTGTGCGGCATTAGGATTTTAACTGAATGCAGCGTGCAGTGTCCCAGTGGAACTGGACAATGGTGCTCCTGCTGGCGGTACTGGTAAGATTGTTCTGCTTCTGCTAAAGCCAAGGGAAAGGTGCCTGCCTTTCCTAGCAAGGCTCGGTGTCTTCCTTGGCTTGGACAACTGAAGCTGTCTCATGCTCAACATAGTATGTGCGGACTTGCTGGGAAACAGATTTTAAGTCAAACTCAGTAATAAAATGATAAGCTTGTTTTACTGGCTACTTAAGTACTGTATTTCTGCTCTTGTGTTTCCATTTAACAGCACAAGTAAGAGATGGCATTTATCTAACAGTGGCAAGGAGGTAGCTGAAGGGCTAGCTGTTCTAGGCAGCTGAGACTTTTGAGTTTAAGAATTTCACAGAGGCCAAGATGTAAACTTTCTTCAAAGAGAGACAGAATTACCCTGTGCATGCTCACCACTCCATAATCCACTCCAGCAAATAAAAATAATCACTCTGTTTATTTAATCTGAAATAGATCAGTACAAAATGTACACCAAAAACCGTACAAATTTACAAAAATACATAATCTGGTTCTGCATTCTTCAACCATCAGACTTCATAGTAGTCCAGCTTAAAAAAAATTCACGTTCCTGATGCTATCTCCTGTCACCTTCATAACATTACATCTGAATCCTGCAGTCCAAACGGTTACGTGATGGTTGGAGCTCTGTCCTTGAGCTCTTTATCAACCACGATTGCCAAACCCTATGTAAACCCCATTACTCAACTGCTTTAAATCCACTTGGCACCTCAGTACACCTTCTTCCATTGCTCTTCCACATACCGCCACTCATTTAACATATTATTTTAATAGTGAGCATTTGGCAGAGACAAGACAACTGTTGAAAGCATTTGCTGTTGAGAGCTGTTGGACGGTTTGAGGGAAGTTGCTAATGTAGTTGAAAATACTGCCTCTAAACCAAAAATGATTTATGTTGCTGTCAAAGATTGCATTAGGATCTAAAGATCTATTTAAAAAGCTACAATAGTATTAAGAATCATTAAAAATTACTTTTTAAATAAATAAATAATAAATAGTAATAAATAAAGCCATTTTAGAACCACTGGAATTTTAACACTCAACCTGCGGTTTAAAATAATTTCTTTGCATGTTTGTTTTGCAGTTTCAGTGAAGGTACCTCAAGCAATCCAGTACCATAAATATTTTCATGGCTATTTTCCTCCAGGTTCCTATGAAGCATTTAAAAGCAGCAAAAACAGAGTGGTCTGGTTCCTCTCTTCAGAACTTGCCTAGATGGACGCTCTTATAGGAATTGTCTTTCAGGCTGTTGAATATCTCTTTGGTGCCGTTCTGCCACTGAAGAACAAGATCCATAGGAGTTTTCCCTTGCTGGTTAAAAAAGCAGAGGAAGCAAGATTTAATTTCAGCCTGTGCATACAGAGTCCTTTGTTCTTCCCTATGTATTTGTGCAGTGCGTCTGCCTGCTGGGAGATCTTCTGCACGCACAGGTCAGGCTTACTCTCGGCTCCCTGAGATCAGAGTCCTTTTGCTGTACAGATCTAGTCCCAGTCCTGGTCAGACTCGTGATGAAATTTCCCTGGGTTCCAGTGGGTCTAAGCCATGTTAGCAAATACCGCAGCTAGTAGAGCATGCAGGTGGTTCTTCTGATCGAGTTCAAACTGATTACAAATACATTTGGATGAAACCTCAATAAGCTGCTCTTCTGTTTCAGTGGGAATTCAGATAAGAGTTCTTACTGGTTTAATTACATTATGAACCACATCTAAACTGAACAGGAGCATCCTTTGTGTGCAGGCAAAGCCTGAGAGAGAGCAGGTCTTTGGCCTTTGGAGCTGTGTCTTTCCTTGTGTCCATACCCTGATGGGGGATTATGCCAGGAGTGGTCCTGCTTCAGAGAGTGTGGGCAGAGAGTAGGGAGACTGCAAAGGCTGCAGCGACTCGTTTCTTCCTTGCCCCCTTAAGTTTTGATTGATTGCCAATCAAAAACATTGACAGTCGTTCGTAAAACCCACTGCTGCTTGGTTTAAGTTTTGAGGGAAAGGGGGCTGTGATGTGTTTTGTTGTTTAACAAGTGGTCACAGATCTGGCGACACATCTGCAGCTGCTGTGGTGGCTGTGAGCAGAAAGTCAGGTGTGGGGTTCTTAAATTGAGGCTTTGCTGGGCTGTGGGGATTTGTTGCCCAGCAGTCAGGTTCACAGCCAGTCATCCAGCTGTTGTGCTTGGGCTCACCAGCGGCTGAGGGCTTAACAGAATGGACATTTCTCCAACAAGCTCAGATATTCTTTGTTGCCTCAGTGGTGGTTGAAGCCTAGGAGCTGTCTGGAAAGCAAGCGTCTTGTATGTTTAGATATTTTCAATACATGATATGTGTAATTACAGTAAATCACAGCAAGATTTGATGGTTTAAGTTGCAGCTGATGGGTTCTGGTTTTAGAAGGGATACTGTTTTTTTCTCTTCTCTGTGACTGCCCACAAGTTATACTTTCCCTGTGTCAGCTCTGCTTTAATTAACTCTGAAGAGACCTAATTAAGTCTGTTCACAATAGTCTCTCCTGGCCTTGAAACCTGTGAAACTGCTCTGAAGGGAAACTTACTCTAAAGTGTTTTGAATTACTGCATTTTTTGCGATTACTTACGCAGTTCTTTATAGTCAGATCTGCTCCATACAGAATCAGAAGCCTGATCATCTTGTAGCGGT